AAATTAATTAATATATAGAAAAAATTAATGCGGGCGCACGAGTGCTCGGCGCGCTGTGCGATCGTTGCATTATTATTATGAAGTTGCGTTGGGCCTCGCAATCACGCGTGGACTTTTCTATTGTGGACAGTACAGAACTCCCCAACATCCGTCGGCCTCAGGGCCACATAAATTTCAAATTCCATTTTTGGAATCACATGTCGACTTTTCTATTGTGGACAATACAGAACTCCCCGACATCCGTCGGCCTCCTTAAAGGGCAGCAGAAATGTCAAAATCAGTTTTTGGAATCACATGTCGACTCTTCTATTGTGGACAATACAGAACTCCGCAACATCCGTCGGCCTCCTGAAAGGGCCACAGAAATTTCAAATTCAGTTTTTGGAATCACATGTCGACTTTCCTATTGTGGACAATACAGAAATCCCACGCGCGCGCGCGTCGGAGTTCTGAATTGTCCACAATAGAAGAGTCGACATGTGATTCCAAAAACTGAATTTGGATTTGTTTTGGAGTTTTGTATTGTCCACAATAGAAAAATCGACATGTGATTCCGAAAACTGAATTTGAAATTTCTGTGGCCCTTTAAAGAGGCCGACGGAAGTTGGGGAGTTCTGTATTGTCCACAATAGAAAAGTCGACATGTGATTCCAAAAACTGAATCGAACATGTCTGTGGCTCTTTAAGGAGGCCGACGGACGGACGGGGAATCGTTCGCGCCCGCGAGGGCACACATCATCATCATCATCATCAGCATCATCATCATCATCGCCATCATCATCAGGGTCAGTATTCATCATCATTCAGGTGGGCCGAAGGCTATTAGATGATCAAACAGAAGCGTCAAGAATTCGACAGTATGTGCTCGTCCTCGGGGGGGGCAGGGACAGAGAGAAAGAACACGACGCGACGACGATGGAGCGGCGACGGCGGCGGCGGCGGCTGTTTCGGCCGCGCTCCCCTGCTGGTCGTTTCGGCCGGCGGCGGCGGCGGCGGCGGTGGCGGCGGCGAGACGTCGACGGCAACGGCGACGGCGGTGCACTTGGGCGGCGCGCGCGGGAAGGGAGGGCGCTCCTCCTGTCCTTGTCCTCCGCCCATTCCTCTTTTTTTTCTCCTGGCCCCCTCCTCCCCGTCGTCGTCGTCCTCATCATCCCCCTCCTCTTCTTCCTCCTCCCCCCTCCCGAACAACTTCAAGATGTCTCCTTCCTCCCTCCGCCATCGTCCTGATTCCATTCATCGGCATTCGTGCCTCCGCCACTTCCGTCTGCGCCTCCTCCGCTTTCTCCTCGCCGTCGTCCGAAGATGCCCGCTCTGACGTCCGAGGATGCCCGCTTCTTCTGCGCCTCCCCCGCTCTGACGTCCGAGGATGCCTTCCTACATTTCTCTGACGTTTCCAGGCCTCCAGAGGCCTTTGCTGCCGGGGGCCTCCAGGGACATCCAGGGGCATCCGGCGACCTCCAGGGGCCTCCAGGGACCTCCAGCTGCGCGGGGAATATATATATATATATATATATATATATATATATATATATATATCAACAGCGCCCTTCTTCAGCCAGCGCGGCGGCGCTCGAGCCTCGGCCCTGGCGGATCGAGATTTTGGGAGTTCTGGCTTTCGGAGGGGGGCCTCCTCGTCGTCGCCCCAGCTGGACGCAGCTCGAAACGACGGTCATGGGGGGGCACGGCCGAAACAGCTTTTAAGCTCACGAACGGCGGGGGAGAGCCAGCAACCCCCCAGGGGGAAGAAGAAAAGGGGGAAAGAGGGCGGGCAGCACGTTGCACCGTAACAAACAGCCATTTTGGCTGAGCGCTGGGAGCGGGCTCCGCTCCTGTCCTCTCCCCACGCAGCAGCGGCCCGCATCGGCCGCCGACCGCCGCCGCCGCTGCCATGCCCGCGCTGGGCGTCGACGCGGGGGGCGTCGCGTCTGGGGAGGGCGACGACGGCCAGGGTGGTCGCCTGGAAGGTTCTGCCAGGTGTGCAAGCGCATGGCGCACTCGGAGGCGGCGCCGCGGCGGCCTGGCGGTGGCGCCCAGCCCGCCGCCAGATTCGCCGCGGCGCCTCCGCGGGGCGCGCCGTGAGCCTGCGCGCCCCCAAAGGCGATGACATCTATATGGCTGTGGAGCACGGGTTCTGGCCTTTTGCGGTGCTCTATGCGGCTGAGTTCGGCCTGCGCGACTTCCACTTCATCAGTCGCACTAGCCGTGGCACGCGGCATTCTCGCCATCATAGGTTGGGCCAGGTGGAGGCTTGGGTCGTGCGGCTGATCAGGAGCACAGGTCTGTTCGAGATGGGGCTAAGGCAGATGAGCGTCCACCTGACCAAGCAGAAGAGCGGGCGTGATGGGAAAGGCGCTAAGTGCGCTGACGACCGCGTGGTCTTGACGCACATGATCGACAACGACCTCGAGTGCCTGTGGAGCGTCATCCACGAGGCTGGCCAGCAGCAGGCCAACACCATCAACGCCGTCATCCAGTACACGGGCGTCAGGGCCGCTGGGTCTAAGTGGGACCCCGACGACGACGCCTTGCTGCTCACGATGAGCACGTTCTGGGAGGCGGCTGGCGCATTATTGTTATTGGAGGGGGCGTCAGGGTGGGTATGTGTTTTGTAGCTCGGTGATCTTCATCGTCGTCGTCGTCGTCGTCGTCGTCGTCGTCGTCTGTCGTTGTCGTTCGTTTGTCGTTCTTCGTCGTTGTCGGGGATTCCCCTCTTCTTTTTTGGAACCCCCTCCCCACTGAGGCTCGCAACTAATAATAATAACAATCCGCTAGCCCATGGAAGGTTGCGGACTACAACGACCTGCCGAACATGGACATCTGGGACCAGCTGGCGCAGCTCGGGCCGCCTCATCGCCCCGCGCCGACCGACAAGACGCCAGAGCAGTTGATCGAGCAGTGCCGGCGCCGCTCCAGCAGGGTGCGCCGTCGCCCGCCGACGGAGGAGCTCGACGACGACGGCGACATCATCGACGGCGACGACGACAATCGCCCAGATGGTGCTGGCGGTCGTCGCCCCCGAGGAGGCGGAGGAGGCGGGCGGCCCGTGACGCCGCCGAGGTCGGCGGCGTCCACTCCACCGCCGAAGAAGGCAGCGCCGAAGCTGCTGGTGGCCAAGAAGGCGGCGTCGCCGCCGTTGGTGCCGCCGCCGACCCACCTCGCCGCCGCGCCGCCCGCCAGGGGGTCGGTGGCCGCCGCCTCGGCTGCATCGGCCCAGACTGCGAAGGCGGCGGCGGCGACGGCGATCCCGCTGCAGCCTCAGCAGCCGAAGGTGCCTCCTCCTCCTGGGCGCTACGCCATGGCGACGACGCCGCCGACGCCAGGGCGCCCGTCGTCGTCGGCTGCGGGCGCAGCAGCGCCGGCAGCGACGATGACGCAGCAGGAGCTCCAGCATCAGGTCGAGATGCTGCAGGCGCAAATGAACACCCTGATCGCCTTGCAGATGTCGCCCGGGGCTGCTTCTTCGGCGTCGTCGTCAGGAGCTGCTGCAGCGGCAGCCGCGTCTCCTCCTCCTCCTGAGCCTGGGGCTGCATCGGCCGGGGGGGAGGAGTGGCAGGGCTGGCAATCGGCCACGCAGCATTCGAGGGCCTGGAATCTGAAGAAGTTAGCTCGAGCACGGGCCTTCGGAGCTGGCGCGAGGCCTGCAGGAGTCCGCACGGCGCCTGCGATGACCATGTGCGCCCATTGCAACAGCAATCAGCCTGGCGCATACTGCGTTAGGTTTGCGTGCAGGGTGTGCTGCCAGAGGTTGCAGGAGTCGAACCCAGACACTATTTGCGAGCAGCACCGTGCTTGAAACAAGCACTGCCGCGTGTGCTCGACCAGCGAGCGCCCCTGTAGTTTTGCGACCTGGACGCGCGTCAACAACGTGACGACTGCGCGGTCGCCGTATAGTCAGGGGGTTGCACGCTATTCTTCGCTATAAGTGCGCAAGTTACGAATGCTGAGATCGGCGCTCGACCCGTCCGTGGAAAAATCATCATCGCCATCATCAGACATCAGAGGGCGATGAATGAATGAGGATGGCGAATGAGGAGGAGGAGGAGGAGGAGGCGGAGGAGGAGGAGGAGGAGGAGGAAGAGGAGGAGGAGGAGGAGGAGGAGGAGGAGGAGGGAGAGGCAACAGCAGCAGGAGGAGGGAGGGCCGTGACGAGGAGGGATAGCGAGGAGAGAAGGGTTGGAGGGTGGAGAAGGGGGAGGAGAGAAGGGTTGGAGGGTGGAGAAGTGGGGGGAGAGGAGAAGGGGGGGCCACCCGCCAGCAACAGCGGCCTCCTAGCCAGCAGCGCCCCCTGCAGCGGCGGGGACATATGCCCCCACCCATCCGTTCAACTACGTCAGCTGCGCCTCCACGAGAGCTCCATGGGTTATTGGCCACGCCCATCTTCTTTGTCTGCATGTGATTTGCGTCAGCTGCGCCTCCAAGAGAGCTTTCTGAGTTCTTAGTTACTTCGGGATGGGCCTGAACATCTGGGCCACGTCAGATTCTGCCTCTGGAACGCTTTCGGGACAACAAGTGGCCCATGTGGGTTGGGCATGTCGATTGGTCCGCGCACTCCTTCCATGGTCGGTCTGCTCTGGAACTTGGAACCCTGCCCCGTCTCAATTTCTACCACTTTGGCTGTTTCGGCCGAAGGCCAGGCCGGCTGCGTCGGCCGGATCCTGACGGCCGTTTCGGCCAACTCTTCTTTCTTGCCGTCGTCGCGTTCGTCGTCGTCTGTCGCCGCCGCCGTCGACCCTCGCTCGCCGCCGCCCTGCGCCTTCTTCTTTCGTCGTCGTCGTCGTCAGCGCTGCTGCTGATCTGCCCGTCGATCGATCGTCGACCCCCCGCTACCCTCCCGCCTGCGGCTCGCCTCCTCCTCCTCCTCCTCCTCCTCCGCTTCCTCCAATTCCATTTCCATCTCCGCAGCCGTTTTGGTTCAGTGTGTACCGACGCGGGCTGTTGCGGCCCTTCAGAACGAACATAACGTGTGGACTCGTCGACTGGCAGTGGGAGTTACGCCAGTCATGCCCGCTAAGGCGGCCAAGCGTGAGCAGAAGGGGGCTGCCTCGGCCCCCCCGCCCATGAAAAGGGCAAAGGCGAAGGCTAAGCAGCCGGAGTCTGACCCTGCTGGTTCGGCAGGAGGTGCGCAGCCGGAGGCGCCGCCGGAGACCAACCAAGTCGTGGGCCCGACGCTGGACATCATCACCGATGCTTTGAACGCCATCAAGGGGTCGCCATTCTTCGCCGACCTCGAGAAGAAAATGCCGCTGACCATCGCCCAGGGCGGTCGCCAGGCGCCGTTCGTGAAGGAGGATTGTTCTGATGCCCTCAGCCGCGGATCCCCCTACTCATGTGGGTGCAACCTCTTCTGGCAGAACTTCTTCTGGAGCTCCAGCTACCGCGCCCCTGTGAACATGGGGCAGGTCAGGGAGATCGTGAACTACCACCTTAAGAGCCCGCCAAATGTCTTCCCCATGAACACCGTCTTCGCGGTGGACAGCTCGGACATGGGCGTCGCCGAGCACCTGGGCAGTTTGCAGCGCCTCTCACCAATCGAGCCGCAGCTGGCCTTGCTCATGGCCATCGCTGACGCGGTAAAGCAGCAGGCGGAGGACTCCATCCTGTCAAAGTGGATGCAGGTCGTGCTTTCGGCGCCAGTGACGTTCGAGGTGGTGTTGCCAGGTGACCTGCGGTATTGGCGCGCCCAGAACATTCGGCAGGAGTGGATCGAGCATGGGGAGACAGCCCAACTCACCGTGAGGCAATGGGTGTACGACATCGTCGGGTTCAAGGCGGCGAAGGAAAAAGAGCTGGAGAAAACGTTGGGCGCCAAGGACGTCAGCGAGCTCTACGAGAAGAAAATGAAGTATGCGCGGTCTACTGAAAAAGTGAAACAAACCTTCGTGGATAACGCAATCACAGTCCACAAGCGGTTGCTGTCCCTGGAGGCGTCCAATCGGTGCCTTGTCTGGGCGGACGAGAACCTGATGAACAAGTCCCCGTGGAATAGCCTCTACGCGATGCACGCTGTGGTCGAGCGCGCGTCGACCCCCAACAAGATCGATTGGGCGATGATGGGCCTCACGGATCATTACCGCATGGCGCCCCGGGGGTTGTTCTGAACACCCATCGCTGCTCGCGCCAGCCCGTCGACGACGCGTCGTCGTCGTCGGCGGGACGGCGCGAATCAGCGTTGGGGAGGGGTCAGAACCACCAGGACTTCATCAACTTAGGCGAGTTCGGTGTCAGCAAGCTCAGGGACTACAGGCAGAGCTACGTTGAAATCTTGAACATGAAATACGACGTGAAGAACGAGCTCTTGTTCAAGTGGCTTCCGCGCACTGGCATCCCAACCGAACACGTCACATTGATGCAAGAGAAGATGAATACCTTCGACGCGGTGCGGACGTACGTCAGTTCCTACCCAGGGGGGGTAGTCGATACCACGTGGCAGGCTCTGATTAGTGTTGGTGGCAAGCAGTCGGCTGTTTCGGCTGTCACGCTCATCGAGGAGTTGGTGTACACAACCGAGTTCGACTCTCGCTACAGGAACGCCGTCCAGTCGAAGCTCGAGGTGGCGGATTTTCTCGCCTACGAATCGATCTCCACGCGCATGAACGAAGTCATCGAGATGGTGCGGAGGGAGAACAATGGGGGGCATGGTACTACTGACACGCCGGCCGCGGCTGGAAGTGGCACGGGCACCCCTGCAGCTGCCGGGGCTGACAACCCTGCGGGGCAGATGACCGCAGTGGCGGGCGACAGGCCCGCGGAGTTGAAAAACTTCGACAAGCTGCCAGAGATGGACAAAACGAGTTGGAACAAATTCATCGACAAGCTCATTCGCACGTACGTTCAGATCGTGCCCGACCAGAAAACGGCGGCCGAGCTGGAGACCATGCTCCGGGACTCCGCGCTCGCCACCATCAAGGGTGACCCCACGGGGCTGGTGCTGTACCACTTCGACGTGAAGCAGTTCGGCGAGCCGCTCACCAGGCCTGAGCTGCGCATTGCGCCCCTCAGGGATGGCCCGTGCCACCGCCTCGTGCGGACGATGCTGAACGCGAGGGCGCCTCAGGGGCAACTAGCCCATCTCCGCAATGGGGAGGTCGCAGTGATTTTGGACGGCGGGCGGAGGGGCAACGCGACCAAGTTGCTCGGGCCGTGGAAGGAGAACACCATCGAGACGAAGAAGGATACACCGCCGAGCAAGGGGCGCGGCTGCGATGAGCCCGACGATGACGATGATAAGGAGGATGACGACAACAGCGACGCTGAGAAGAAGGCCGGCTTCAAAGCTTCGATCATCCAGCTCGCGTACACGGAGGAGAGCCTCAAGAAGCGCCGCAACAGGGTTCACGGAGGCACGGGGAGCTTGCAGCAGGTAGAGTGGGTGCACATGTTGGCGCACTCGCGCATTTCGGCCCCTGAGCGGCGCCGCAAGCACTTCGAGGGCAGCACCGCGGGGGATCTGATCAACGGCATCGAGCTCCCAGAGTTGAGCAAGGAATGGCACGTGACGTGGAAAGACAAAAAGGCAATATACGGGAAGCGCAATCTGATTGCGGTGGGGGGCAAAACAGAGGGCATTCAAGGCGAGGCCGAGCGGAAAACCGACTCTACCGTTGTCCCCATTTCCTACCACGGCATGCCGCTTGTCTTCTACAAAGAGCTGCTGCACATGTTCTTTGTCAAATGCGTCCTCGACATGACCCCGCTCAACGCGAAATTCGCGTGGGCTTGTCTCGAGGAGAGGGTCGCATACGTCGGGGTGGCCTTCGCGAAAGAACACATGGAGAAAATCTACCTCCACCTGGCGGAGCTCGTGAAGAGCGCGATGGCGGATCCTGGGTCCAAGCTGTTCAACAAGGAGTACGCGAAAGCTGTCGGCAAGGAGGTGGCGCCGACGCCGAAGGTACAGCCAGGGCCGAAGCGCCACAGCCGCCGCAACACCGGCGCCGCCGCGGCAGCGGAGGCCGACGCCGGCGCGGGGGAGGGCGGCGGCGGCGATGGTGGTGACCAGCAGGAGGGCGGCGGCGGCGGTGGCGGTGGTTGCCAGAGCGGCGGCTTTGCCGGAGGAGATGATGGGTTCGACGACGATCCCGCGGCAGAAGGGCTGCCTGGCGCTGACGAGGAGCTCTGGGACCCTTTGCAGGAGGATTAGAGCTGAGGTGCAGTCAACCTGCGAGGACGAGTCATGCGATCATGATGATTGAGAGCAGCCATTACCGTAGTAGTCATCGGCCCAATCAGATGTCCCTGTTTGAAGTTCAGAACCCCATCCCCCGCAATGATGATGAGGATTATGATGATGATGCGTGAGTTTTTTACCCAAGCTTTGGGACGATGGCATTTTTGTAGCTGCGTGCGTTGCGTTTGTTGTAGAATAATACCGTCTAAGCTGACGTAGGTTTCTGGCAGCATTTGCGCGCGTTTTTTAGCATCGCTGATTCGGCGGGCACGCCGGGCAGGCTGTTTCGGCTAGCCCCAGGCCCCTTCTGTCCTCACCAGCGCATCCCACCATGACGGATGGCATTGCAAAAAAACATGCATGGCTTCCGCCGCCCGCCTTGGCTCACTCATGCCCTCGAGCTTCCATGTATTGTGCTTTTCCAATCGGAATGTTCGCGCGGCTTTGGACGTGATTGGAGTTGGACTCGGCGCTGGATTTGAAAGAGGCACTTAAAGCACACAGGATAGCCGTGACAACCTCCTCCTCATCATCCTCTTCCTCCTCCTCCTCCTCACTATCCCCTCCTCCCCCCCCCCTCCTTATAGCTTCGAAAACGCCCGAACACTTTACTGCAACAGATGATGCTCGCAAACACGCCCAGACACTTTACTGCAACAGATGGCGCTCACTATGCGTAGAGGTTCTGTTTCGAGTATTGGTCAAGGCCTTTGGGCTCCGCCGCCTGCGCCACCGCCACCGCAGCTCGCTGCCGACCTCGAGCTGCGGTAGGAGAGGTCTGTCGGGCAATTCGCCGACGGCAGCGAGCTGCGGCAGGGGCTGGCGGCCCCTGCCGCAGCTCACTGCCGACCTCGAGCTGCGGTAGGAGAGGTCTGTCGGGCAATTCGCCGACGGCAGCGAGCTGCGGTAGGGGCCCGCGGCCCCTACCAGAGCTCACTGCCGACCTCGAGCTGCGGTAGGAGAGGTCTGTCGGGCAAGTCGCCGAGGGCACCGCCGCAGCTCACTGCCGACCTCGAGCTGCGGTAGGAGAGGTCTGTCGTCGCGCGAGTCGCCGACGGCAGCGAGCTGCGGTAGGGGCCGGCGGCCCCTGCCGCAGCTCACTGCCGACCTCGAGCTGCGGTAGGAGAACTCTGAGAAGCCCCCTGTCGCGCGAGTCGCCGATGATGATGGGGGGTGGGGGGGGGGGGGGAGGAGGGGGTGCGAATGAATGGCGGGCCCGTCGTCGCTCGCGGCCGACGCTCGCGTTCGTTGCCGCGGGAGCTGCGCAAGGAGCTTACTAACAGTCGTCTCTGATCGCAGCTCCCTGTCGCCAGGGAGCTGCGGTAACCAATGTTCGGGAGCATGTTGCGAGACGTCTGTTGCCCCCGAACAGACGTCTCGCAACATGCTCCCGAACATTGGTTACCGCAGCTCCCTGGCGACAGGGAGCTGCGATTAGAGACGACTGTTAGTAAGCTCCTTGCGCAGCTCCCGCGGCAACGAACGCGCGCGTCGGCCGCGAGCGACGACGGGCCCGCCATTCATTCGCACCCCCTCCCCCCCCCCCCCCCCACCCCCCATCATCATCGGCGACTCGCGCGACAGGGGGCGTCTCAGTCAGAGTTATCCTACCGCAGCTCGAGGTCGGCAGTGAGCAGCGGTAGTAGGGGCCGCCGGCCCCTGCCGCAGCTCGCCGCCGTCGGCGAATTGCCCGACGGACCTCTCCTACCGCAGCTCGAGGTCGGCAGTGAGCTGCGGTGCCCTCGGCGACTTGCCCGACAGACCTCTCCTACCGCAGCTCGAGGTCGGCAGTGAGCTGCGGTGGCGGTGGTGCAGACGGACCACCCCCGCTACCGCAGCCCGCTGCCGTCGGCGAATTGCCCGACAGACCTCTCCCACCGCAGCTCGAGGTCGGCAGCGAGCTGTGGCGGTGGCTACCGCAGCTCGCTGCTGTCGGCGAATTGCGCGACAGACCTCTCCTACCGCAGCTCGAGGTCGGCAGTGAGCTGCGGCGGCGGTGGTGCAGGCGGCGGCGACAGTGGCGGGGTGCCAGCGGATGCGTTCGGGCGCGGCGTTGGTAGTGGGAGGGGGGCCTTCATCATCACTGGGTGCTTGGCAGGTGGGCTGGGGGGAGGAGGGGCCGAATGCATTCGCAAGGCCCCCAGCAACGAGGCCGCGTGTTCTGGACTTCTGATGTGGTTATCGGGCCCCCCAGCGGGGCCGCATCAGAGGGCTCATCCAAGACATATAGGATGGATTGGCGTTCCGCCATCTGCCGTGTCATGCCTGCAGTTCGCGTGGGGGCCGCGTTGTTGGGGGGCGACGGCGGGGGGATCATAAGTTACGGCGTTCCGAAATCTACCGCGTTGGTTCCCCCTCAGTGGAGTTGACAAATTGCACAGCGAGCCGCGTGGCTCGTTCCTCAGGGGCTTTCGTTCTACAAGGGGCTCTGGTGGTCTGACTGGCGGTCCCGACGGCGCTTGCGACGCCGAAGAGGAAGCAGATGCGTTCTTACTTACTACAGACATGTCATTCCAATGTGCTCTGGAAACGTTGTTCCGGAGCACTTTAAAGTGACCCCCCCCAGCAGAGGGCGACAAACTAAGGTTTGATTCATCTGCAGCTGTTTCGGCCAGAACCAATAATACTACATACACAATCGTGTCTTCTCTTCCTGCCCGCCTGTTCCCCCCGCGCGATTCCCCGCGTCGCCGACGTGGGGAAGACGACAGTCAATGCTGGGGTGAAGAATACTGCTGGCGGGCAGCCGAGGCAGCCGCGGCGCCCGAAGGTCCTGAAGTTGGGATCTGATTTCTCGGGCGTCGAGACGGCGTCCGTGGCCATGAAGCGCATGGGCATCAGTCATTCCCTCGAGTTCGTGAGCGAGTCTGATTCGGCGTGCATGTCAGTCATCAAGAAGAACCACCAGCCGGCGCACGCGTTCTCGAACATACTGGAGCGCACGGCCGCGGAGGAGACCTACGCCGACGTGTACGTGTGGACCCCTCCTTGCCAAGACTTCTCTGCTGGCGGCAAACAGGAGGGCGTCAGCGGCGAGCGCCGCACGGGGGACCTGATCAAGAAGAGCATGCAGTTCATAACGAACAAACGGCCCCGCCTGACCATCTTCGAGAACGTCCCGACCCTCATGGCCAAAAAGTTCGCCCGCATCCTCAAGGGCATCGAGGAAGCGCAGAAGAAGCTTGGCTACGTCGTTCACGTGAAGAAGCTGAACAGCAAGGACTTTGGAGTTCCCCAGTCGAGGGAGCGCGTCTATGTTGTCGGCGTGCGGCAGGACAGCGAGATGCATCCGTTCACGTGGCCGCAGAAGCAGGCGACGCCTCCAGCGACTTCCATCCTGGAGCCCAAGCGTGCGACCGACGTGGCAGGTCGGCTCCCCAGCAGCGAGCGCAGCCGGGACCGGTACAAGGCCGCCTACAAGAAAGTCTGCAAGAAGAAGACGGGGGTGGACCCGCGCGTGACCCCAGTGATGGTCGATATCGACTGCTCCGAGAGGTTCGCCACGCACGGGATCAACATCGCCAGGACCCTCACCAAAACCCGTGGCCAGAACTGAGGTCCGTGGGTCTCCAGCCGCGGGCGGCGGGTGACGCTGCATGAGATGATGCGGCTTCAGGGTTTCGCCAAGAAGGACATTCCACAGGCTGAGCTCAACCTGTCGGACCACCAGATCGGCGGCATGGTCGGCAACGCAGTCAGCGTGCATACCATGGGCGCCATTTTGTCGGAGGGGCTCCACAGCGCCGGGCTGACGAAGACGAAGGTGCCATTTCCCTTGCACTATGAGTGGTGAGTGCAACTTGATTGTACCGCATGTGGTTTTGCGATATCGGCCCAGGCTGTTCCGGCCCATCGGCTGCATTTCCTTCTGTCGCTCTTAGGTCAAGGAGTTCCAGCACCTGGCCCCAAGGAAAATGACCGCTAACATAAATAAGGCCCTAGTGGGGCCTGTTGTGTTTTGGCGTCTCTGATGCGGTTTGTTGATGGGTAGGCTCGCCACCCATGGTACATGTTTGTTGATGGGCCAGCTTGCTGGCCATGCCATTTCTTACTGTCACGCGCCTTATCCCATCTCTCGTAACCATTTTTGCTCAAGTCTCATGTGTCTGCACGGCCGACAACGATTATTGCTACCGCCAGCCACCCCGATGTAGCTATGGTGGCGAAGCAAAGCAGCAAGTCATCCGACAGCAGATTCGCCGCGGCGACTCTTTGGAAGAGACTCTACCCTAAGTGGTCCAAGCGGTTCCTGGCGGATCCTGGCCGCCCTCACCTTGGTTCATGGTTGAGTAGCAAGTGGAAGGACGGTAATGGAGTTGGTTGCGCGTGCTGCCATTGGGCAGGCATCAACAGCCCGTTCAGCAATTTTCAGGCTATGTCTGTGCCTGCGCTCCAGGCTGCCAACTTCGCCAAGCACGATCGGAACCCAACTCACAGGGCTGCTGCTGCGGCTTATGCGCAGATGCAGGCTCAGCAGCGTTTGGCTCCGTCTCATTCGCAGATGCAGGCTCAGCAGAGTTCGGCTGCATCGGCTGAGTTTCTGCAATGCCCCAGCGAGTCTGACTTCCTGGACGTCGTGAAGCTGGTAGGCAATGGGTGCGGCCTCGAGAACAGAAAGCACCGTAGAATATTGTGGTGCTTGCAGCAGGCCCTGAAGCAACGCGACATGAACATCATCAAATCAAGTGCAGCAATTTCCCTTTTCCGTGACGAACGGAAGGGGCGGCTACTCGTCCGATTCAGATGCGTCGGGCACGACCTGTCTGAGTTCTCAGGGACATTGGGGCAAGCTCGTGGCTTTGGGACTGGAGCCGCGGCAATCACCAACGCTACAGAGCAAATTATGGTCAGAGCGTGCACTGAGCTGCACGGACCCCCGCAGGGAGCGAAGTGCACCCCCGCTCTCAAGCAGGAGATTTTGGAACATCTGAAAGCGCGGGTGTTGTGTCTCACGGTTGATTCTGCGAGCGATGAGCTTCTCAGCGCTGAGATGATGCGATCGGCTGCCTTGAGTGCCGCTGCCCAAGCCTTGACCCCGGGGCTCCGCTTCGTCATCAGAGACAAAGCGCATTCAGCCAGGAGGGTTGTGAGCAGGCCGTGGGCCGCTGACCCGTTCATCAAGGAGACAACTATGATCTTCGCTCGTGGCCGAGGCTCCATAGCACGCATGATTCACAATAGCGTGCACATTCGACGAATCTTCGTGAACTATACCAGGACATGCCGTAGCAAGGCCATCAATTCGAACATCACGAACCTACGGGCAGCAGCCCACCGATTTGAATCATTTCAAAAACCTCTCGGTCGCACCTGCATCTTCCTGCACGCGTGCATCCGGACGGCGCTGCACATTTCTCGTCGACAGCACGACGATATGGCAAAGATGGCAAAGACGTGGCTCAAGTCAGTCACCACAGAACGATGCTTGATGTTGGCAATGATGGCCGACGCAAGTGACCAAGCAATGCAACTCACTCGGATCTTAGATGACGAGACGGCCGATCCAGCCGTTCTCAATCGCGAGGTGTTGGCGTTCAGCTTGTCTATCACTGCTTTATTTGGCAGCTCACGCAGATGTTTGTCAACGTTTGGCTACGCGAGCATGATGCTGAAATTGTTGAAGATTCCGATTGTTTGGCAGCTTGATGGGGGCAGTTATCATATCGGGGACGAGGCCGGTGTCCAGGCAGATATCATTGACAATTGCATCGCCAGGATGCGCTCCTACATCGTTCTTTCGCGAGCGGCTCTGAAGGCCGAGTTCCCCACTTTCGAACTGGCCCAGGACAGCTGTGTGATCAAAGATTCGTGGAAGTTCGCCCCCCCCAATCCCCGAATTCATTGTCGCTGTTGACCGATTTGATCATTGGAACAGGAGGGTGCCCCGCCGTTCGTTCGTTCGTCGTCCACCCTTCCCCGCGCTTCTCGGCGAAGGGGAAGTAGATTTATGTATCCCCCCAGGCCTGGCGCGTGTTCGATTTGAAGAGCCCCCCCAACAAGCCCGAGCAGGATTTGCAAAGGATCGCACAGTCACTTGATTATCAGACTTTGTCGCTCTCACCGCCGCCCCCCGCGCGAGCGGCCCTGTTCCTGGCGCTTGCCCATCTGGGATCGGAATCATTGGGTCAAGAACGGGCGGTTCCCCCTGCCCCTCGCCGCGGGCCCCGTCCGGCGGGGGGGGCGGATCTTGATCCGTTGAGGCTTAGGGCTCAGTGGTGCGACCTCTATCCTCGCGCGCGCCAGATGTTCAGCACCAGCAACAAGGATGCGTGGCGCGCCGCAGTGAGCAGAGCAGGCGCTCGCCATCTCGCGGCCAGCCACCCGTCCGACGTGCTGAACCAAGCTCTTGTCGCGTTCATCGCTTTTGGTTTGAGCTCATCTGGAGTGGAACAACAGTTCAGTCAGACTGCGCTGAAATTTACTGACCGCATGGGCTCTTCCACGGCGGATCACGAGGAAGGCTTCATCAAAGTGGCTATGGATTTCACTGAATCCGACCAGTTAGAGAGCATCAGGATGGCGCAGCGAGTGTGGCGCACGTCGCTCGGCCCGCCCAGGGCGTCGCCACTGCGTCCTCGGATCGACAAGGGCGTGAAGCGCGTGGCGGCGCCCAGTGATTTCACGGAGGCAGGCTTCATCGCGAAACGGCGGAAGGCCGCCCAGAGCGCAGCCGCGCCCGTGCCGAGCGAGGAGAGGGCGCTGGCAATCCAGAACGATCTAGTCGGCTTCCGAGCAGGCGCTGCATGGGGGGAGACCCACGAGAAGGAGCTAGCATTTCTCAACGCCAAGTTGCGGGACAAGTCCTTGGTAGCACTTGCCGAGAAGAGCCTCCTCCAACATGAATCGAGCCCGGCTCTTTGCGCTGAGGCAGCTCAGAAGGCAGCGAAACAGCTCGCAGACCTGAGAGCGCGCCAGCGCAGGCAAGCGCGCGACGTGGACTTCATGCGCGGTGCAAGTCGCGCAGAGATGACGTCAGCGATCAGGGGTAAAATTGCCTTTGTGGATGTCAGTTGCCGGGGGAGGGCAGGTCTGGAGCGTGCGCTCAGGGAGGCCACCCTGAGGATCGGCCGATCTTTCGAGGCCGATGCGTTCGTTGTCCCCACGCCAGGAACAACTGAACCATTTATCACGCTTGCTTCCGCAATGAGAGGCGGTTTCCAAGTGTCGCCTGGATTCCTGATTTCGGGGCGCGGCCCCGCTTTGAAGTATTCGCAAGTGTGCCACCTAAAGAAGACATTATACATGTCGCCGCGCTGCAATACCACACGCGGTGAATCCCTGAAGCTACTTTTCTCCAGGGTCCCCAACTGCAAGTGGACACTTGATGGGGGTAGTAGCTGGGCCGCCTTGAAGGCCGCGTTCACAGGCGCCAAGAAGAGCGCTCTTTTGGCGCTCGTGTTGCCTGGTGAGTTGAGCCAAGACGCATATAAGGACTTTAAGAATTCATTTGCATTCAGGGGATTGGTCCAGAGTCTTGCGTCCGTGGACACTGCGCGCTCTTGCTTGGGGTTTCAGTGACAGCTCAGCTGCCTCGGCTGGGCAAGTAAGTGCTCAGCTGCTTCGGCTGGGTAGAAAAAACACAAACATGTGTAAATCCTTCATTGCATTCCTCTTCTGTGTCTCATCCCTTCCCCCACCGCCATCCTGGCCCCTCCTCCCTCCTCCGCCCAGCGATCCTGCCCGATCAATCTCTTGTTGCTGCTCTTCGCTGCCGCCGCCGCCGCCATCGTCGTCGTCGGCTGCTACAGTCGCAAAACTGCTACCGCTCTGATGTTTTCCCCCTGTCGTCGGGCAGCGAGTCCTTGCCGCAAGTGCATCCCGAGGGGGGCGCGAGCGAGCAAGCTAGCAGCAACGTCGATGACGACGCGATCGAGTGCATTGCTGGCCGAGGCAGCCAGTCAGGTCCCGCGAGGCCGGATCAGCCCCGATTGCCTGGCTTCACGGCCGTATCAGCCCCTGGCCAAGTCAACAGCTGAAGTGGGCAACGAGGTGGAGGAGGAGGCGCGCCTCTCTTCATCGCAATCCTTTTCACTCCCTTCCTCTTCTGCTTCTGCGCCATTCATCCCATCGTTCGTCGTCGCGTCCCCATCCTTCGTCCCCGCTGCTCAGTGCCCCGCCCCCTGCTCCTCATCGCTTCTCGCTTCTCCTGGCCCCTCGCACCTCGCTGCTCCTCCCCATCATTCCTCGCTCCTCTCATCCTCCATCTTCTTCTCATCCTCCTTCTCATCCTCCTTCCCCTCGCGTTTGCTCCTCGTCGTTATCCTCCCCCTCCTCCTCCTCCTCCTCCTCCTCCTCCTCCCTCCTCCTCCCCCCCCCCCCCTCATCCTCATCGTCGTTTCTCCTTGCACCTCGCTCTTCTTCTTGCTACCCGCTACCTCGGCATTGTTCTGCTGAGTCCATAATTTAATGGGTCCGAATCCGCTCGAGATGGGCCCCAGGGCCCCTCGCCAGGGCCCAGACGCACCAGTTCCTCGAGCCGCGCCCGGCCGTGGCGACGACGAACGAGGAGGGCCTCCAGAGGCCAGAAAGCCTGGGACTGCTGCCTGGAGGAGGGGG